CACCGGTGCTGACACAGGTCAGGATGATGGTGGCTTCCTGGCTGCTTGGGCACAAGCTGCTCATCCTCAGCTCCATCGATCAGCACCCCTAGCTCCTTTCCCATGAGCAGTTTCCAGCTGCTCTTTCCCAAGCCTAGAGCACTGCAGGGGCTTGTTGTGGCTCAAGTGCAGAACTCGGCACTTTGCCTTTTTGAACCTCCTTCCACTGGCCACATCCCATGGATCCAGCTTGTCCAGATCCCTCTGCAGAGCTTCCTACCTTCCAACACTCCCACCCAACTTGGTGTCATCTGCAAATTTACTCATCCCAGTATAGAGCAGTGCAGACCAGTATGCACCAGTAGACAGCATCACAACACTATCTTTAAAGAAATCTGGTAAGGTTAAAAATTTCCTGTCACAAGGAAAGATGGTGTTAGAAAATAGTATGTGAAAAAGGATATCAGAGATTAAGGAGAACTGACTTCTTTTGATACTTGCTTCCATTGTGTCAAGCACCACAACTTCCAACACTCACTCTGAGCTAAAAAATGTAATTAGTTCCTCTCTGCAAACTAGACTAACAAATTTGCTTTGGATACCTGTCAGGTCAGTTAACAAAACAAAACACACACAAAAAAAGCCCTGAACACACACACACACACTCTATCTTCCTGCTGGCTAAACAGCCATCCTCAGAAGCATGACCCTTCATAGAAAAGCAAACCAACCCATCAAACCTACCACATTAAATATTTCAGAGGAATTATGGACTCACTTATTTCTTGCAAGAAAACCATGCTACTCTTTCTGTAGTCCAATTATGATATGCTATACTTTATCTGCATGAAGTCCTTTATTGTGATGGCACCAGACACTTACCTGCTATTGGAACTGGCATGTTCTTTAGTCACAGAAATATGGCCACAATGATACAAAATAGTAACAAAGAACTGGGAAAGTATCATGACTGAATAATGTTTGTCAGTTTCAAGGCAAAATTTAAACTGGATACTTCAGTTTACTACCAGTGTTTTTCTCTGTAAAAGCACTGTGACTTTAATAACTGAAACTCAGTTTCCATCTGTGATCCAGTAGCAGACAGGATTGAATGCCCAAACTGAATCAAAGAAAATAATATTATCGAGAGCCTCCCCAAGTCCTGGCTTTATCTGGAGACTTCAGGTACAAATGCTGTCTGAAACTGAGACTAATAGCCTACAAATGCAGAACAAAACATAGCTAACAGAAATGTAAGACTCGCATTTTCCCTCTATCACCACAGTAGGAATTCTTAGCAAATGGTAACATCTAAAGGATATGCCCCAGGTATGTATATATTGCCTCATCTCCACAAAACCTTCCTTTGGAACTCTGTCCAGAACCAAGTAAGCTTCAGAGCAATTAGTTAGAGAACTTGCAAAATCAGACAGAGTTTTGCAAGGACATAAATTCCAGAAATGAACTATCTGTACTGAAAGATACAGTATGATGCACAGATCCTTCCTGGAGCAGCTGTTTTCAAAAGCTGAAAGAGGCTATAAATAGAGTGCCACTTGACTGTCAGTTCACATGAAACTAAAACAATGAGTAAACGGGAAACAGCAGTTAGTTCTCAGATGTTTTCCTCCAATACAGAGTTGCCTTCAATATTCCACGTACTCTACATTGTAGCAGAACACCACAAATGGCTCACTATGCAAGCATCATTCGTACATACACATCTTCCTTCCAATACATCGTGAACAGTGGTGTTAGTTTTGGACTTGCTGTGAGGGTTCTCCTTTGATTTGTTTACTGAGAAAGAGCAAACAAGAAATTTATAACCTGCTTTAGTCTGTACTGGTATCCACAGTTGTTTTGACAATTTTGCCAAAATAAACCCCAACAAAAGCAAACAAACAAAAACCCCAAGCAAACAAACAAAAAACCCCAAGCAAACAAAAAGCAATAAATGTACATACACAATGCCTTGAGTCTCCCAGAGCTATTTACTAAGTCAAAATGAAATGCTTGACTTACATCTGTTCTGTCAGACTGTTGAAACACTATAAAACCAGTGTAAATAGGAAGAAACCATACTTTCCATTCAGACTAGAGCAGCAATGAACAACATTATCTAGCTGACCACTGCGCTCTCAACCTATGTTCAAACAACAAAGCTCCTAGGTAGAATTGCTTAAGTCTGAAAGAGAAAAGATGCATACATACACTAAACTGCACACAAAAAGGCATGACAACAGACCCACTGTCTGGTAAATCTGCACATGAGCAGTCACACATGACTAGCAGCAAAATCAGAGGGTCTATTAAGGCCATAAATGCCATTTTGAACAGAAGTGGCTCCACAAGGCAAGCACACCATGTACTAACCTCTTTTGTTAAAAGCCTGTCAATAAGGCTTCAGCAACTCTTGCCACCACCAATGCAGATATTAACATCAATTCAGTCGGAAGCCTCTCCCAGGTCCTATTCTCTCAAGGCTAAAAAGCCACTGAGCATGTTTAGATGAAATGGAAAACAGTAAATAAGAGACCTTAGCTCAGCAAAGGGATTTTAACTACTTATGCACATTTTATTGGAGAAAGAAAAAACACCTTATTGTCCAGAAAAAAAAAAATCTTACTAAATCTGAGAGATTGATTTCTACTGATGAAATCTTAATACTTCAACTGTCAGAGACACAATCATGTAGAAGCAAAAGTTTTTCGGTCCTTCTTCAAAATTTACACACTACACTTAAGAACCCAGTCAGAAGGATAATCCATGTTTGATCACAATGTTAGGACAATCCTCAGCGAAGACCTGGCCAGCTGTCAAGACGTAACAGAAGTCAAAAGCAGTTAGAACATTAGTTTTCAACTTTTTTTTTTTTTTTTTTAATTTTAGGGCCTCATTATTTTGGTTGTGGGTTTGGTTTTGGTTTGTTTTGTTGTTTTCTTTTTTTCCCAGAGCACTTGTGTGCACATAGGTGCTATATATACAAACACTCTCTCTATAATAGGTGGAGGTCTACCAGCAATGACCTTACTTTTCTCGATTATCTTTTGTGGATGACTGCTGAGACGACAAAATGAGTTAGACTTGGTAATGTGACATGCCACCTTAAATTCCACCGGAAAACCTAAAGAAAACCAACACTAACCACATTTAGAAGTGCCATGGTGTTACAAAAAGATACACTTTCTACAACACTGTAAGTAAGTTCCTCCTCTATGTTTCGGCTCAAAATCAGGAATTTACTTTGCCACACAAGCAGAAAAGAACATGCTTGCCACCAATAAACCATCTTCCGTGGAGAGCCATCCCACTCCCCCAAATTGGAGCATCATTATGATACATGATAGATCACCACATCCCCAAAAACATGTGAATAAGTATTTTTAAATATATATACTTCGGGGAAGGGTAAGATGCAGAATACATACAACCTGCGCCATTACAAAGCACATCAACAGCTTCGTCAAGCTGGAGAAACCTCCGTGTGGCCTCGTAAACTGAAACTAACGCTATTTTTAACTTGGGGGCTTGGATAGTGAAGAAAATAACTGGCGTTTAACAGACGCAGCAGTCAGAAGCCGGAGCTGCAGCGCTTTTACGGGCTACCACTCCCCGCGCCCAGCAGTTGTGAACACAAAGCCCAGATCAACAAGCTGGCACACAACACGCTGCTCAAGTGGCTCAGGCCAGCGCCCGGCTTCCAAAACCCGGGGAACTCCGAGATCTCCACTGTTAACCCGGCGCTTCCACGCTTTTATAAGGCAGTCGTTACAGGCTCAGAGCCGGTCAACCCTGTTCAGCCCGGGAAGCAAATACGCGGCCCCCAGTCTATTTTAAGGTACCGCCACCTCCCGGGCGCCGGCCCGACGCCATCCCTCACGCAACAGTTCCTTCAGGGAGAGGCGGGGGGGAAAGAGGGCGGACGGGGGTACCGCCGTGCCCCGTGGGGAGACAGCCCCACGCGCGACACAGGAAACTTAGGAGCAAGCTGCACCTAAAAGAGGAGGAGAAGGCGGAACCTACTCCGCAGCATCGGGACGAGGGAACCGGGCCCAGCCTCCCCAGGGACAGCACCGACAAGCCGCCCCCCGCCGCCATTGTACGCGCACCCCGCGGGGAGGGGTCGGAGAAGAGAAACCGCTACCACCTGCTCCCGCACATAGGGGAGAAAGGTGGGAGCGGTTGCTGGGAGGGGCGTCCCCCCCTCCCTCTCTCCCCTCACCTCAGGGAACGGCTTTGCGGGCCCCGCGCGCCCTTACCCAGGTAGTGCCTCCGCAGCAGGCTGGGCTCTTCGAGCCCCAGGCTCCGCTTCCTCACGTCCCACAGCAGGTGGTGGCAGTGCCCGCGGGACATGGCCCCCGCGAAAGGGGAGCAGAGAAAGGACGGGCTAAGGCCGGGCGCTCCGCTGGTACTGGGCGCTCTGAGCGATAACCATGAAAACCGATACACCGCCCGGCCGGCTCACGCCGATACCGACGTGAAACAAGCGAGTCACCAGCGGCGGCGCTGCGCCACGCCCCTCTCCATGGGGCACTTCCCTCGCGGAGCCCCGCCCCCGCCGCGAATGAGGGGTTGGCAGCTCTCCGAAACTACAGGCATCTCTCGAGAGCCGGTACCGGCGTCTCGGGGGGTGCGGGAGGGTCTGCCCTGTCGCTCCCCGAATGGTGTGTTGTGGAAATGGCGGATAACGTCAACGCGCTCGGCTTCTCCTGCCAAACCGGCTCTAGAGCCCAGCGGTAAAGCTACAATGTGGCCATCTTGGGTTTGGGAGTGGGTTCTGGTTTCCGCACGTCGGCCATCTTGAATTGGAAGGTGAAACGGCTCCCGGCAGCCATCTCTGAGCCGGGCGCTCGAAGACGGCCAGAGTAGAGCGCGCTGGTATCAGCTCTCCTCACGAAGTGGGGGTAGGCCTCCCTAGCCAATAGCGTTACTCGAAGCCTTCAGCCCCACCACGCCTCTTGCACAGACCACCAATCAGCGTGCAGCGAGCGGCGCTCTTTCCCTCGGCCCAGGGGTGACAGATGGGAGGGGCTGTTGGGCTCCGTGAAAGGACGGTGGGTCGTGAAGGGAGGGAGCTCTCGGTACCAGCTCGTCCGCTGACTCACTGCTGCTGTCAGGCTCCCGCGCTTCCGTCTCTCTCCCGACATGGCGGCCGCCGCCTCGGGGCTCCGCGCCTCTTACCACCGCATGCTCGACCGCATCGAGTTCATGCTGCCGCCGCGGTTCCGACCGTTTTACAACCACCCGGCAGGTAACGGCCGTACCAGTTGGGATCGCGGAGGAAGAGGCGGGGAAAGCAGGGCGCAAGGCAGCGGTGTCGTACCCCTCCGTTACTCCGATTCTGGGGTACGGGGGTAACTGATATGGGGAAAACTGCTGATGAGTGGGCTCCTGCTCGTTACTCCGTGGCTTGAACCCTGGGAGTGGCTGGGCTGCCTGAGCCGAACCCCAACCCGGGGGATGTGGTCGTTTCCAAAGGGCCCTGAAGGTTTCAGCAGTCACTTCTTGATACTGGATGTACTGAAAAAAATAGCGGGGACCCTATAAGGATTTATGATCTTGAAGTGTACTCTGGTTTAAGTCCGGCAGCTGTTTGCTTCGTTTCCTTTCTGTCGACTCAGGCATTCCAACCGAAGTCGACTGGTGCTACTCTTGTAGTTGAAAGACTCCTGTGGGAAAAGAAGGGTTTGAGTTATCCTGAAATGAGCTACCTTTACCTGACCTACATCATATATTTCAGAAAACATGGGATTTTGTGTTATTAGGGAGAAATCTCTTGTAAGATGATCCTCTTCAATGCCATTTAGGTGATGTTTGTCACGTAAACAAATTGCATAGGATAGTTTAAAAGAGTGCTCGATAAAATCCTGAAATTCCGTAGGCTGTCGTTCCCACTGTTTTGTTTCAGTGGGGTGTGCATCCTTGACTCTTCACCTACCTGGAATATGCACTGTGAAAATGGACTTCAGTCCATTTAGGCAGTTGTTCTGTTCTCCTCTAACAGTCCTTTCTGGAAATGAAAACTATTGCTTTAAAGAAGTCACAGTCAAAGAGTGAAAACTGCAGTTATCAGAATGTCTGATTTGCACTGAATTCACTAGATCAATATATATATTTAATATTAAAGTATTTTTAATGTATAAAGAGTCAATACATCCAGCATTTCCACTGTAGAGGTGCCAGGCCTCTAAGTGCCATGTTCATCTTGGGTGAAATGTGGCAGCTTCCAATTGCTTTTATTGAAAACAAAACATGGTGAGCACTGGGAACATCTGTGTTCATTATTTGTCAGAAATATGGTACTAATGGAAAAAGGCTTTGGAGGTTCTCTTGCAGTGCTTTTCACAGTACTACTGCCTGTGGGCCACTTTTTCCATTACCTTAATCATGAAATTAATTAAAAAAAATCCATTTTTAGGGACTCTGTATGAATGTATACATATATTTACATATATATCTGCTATAATCTGTACTGATGGTGTGAGAAAAGCCACAGAGGAAGCATGAACCTCTAAAGAGCTTCATCAAAGCTGAACCTCTGCCAATTCTGTTTAAGCCTTAAATGTCTTGAAGGTGGTTCTGTGAAAAAGTTATGCAATAGATGTCACTCTGCCTGCAAAACAAGTAGGTTAAAAATTAAAAGCTCACACTTTATCCCCAGTGATGTCCAAGTTTTGAATCTAATTTAGGAATATGAGCATTGTTATCATGAAATTATAAATCACTTGTCAGAAATTAAGAACAAAGTTTACTTCTTTTCTGGCACAGACATCTTCCAGTAAAATAATTGATGCGTGGTATGAAAAGCTGTTTCTTTGGCTGGCATTGCACAGCATGAGGCTGCTGGAGGACAGTGAATGGCCTGCAGTACAGGCTGCCACAGAGCTCCTGGCAGCCTTGGGGAAGCATGGATTGAGCTTGTGCTCTCCTTTGGCCTCTTTTGTTCATTTTGCCTAACTAAACTGTCTAGGACAAAGACTCAATAGAAGTCCTAAATTCTATAAACTGTTCACACATATGATATCCAGATTAGCCTCTGGTATGCCCCTGCTGCTGTATGTGCTGCTGTCAAATTCATCCTTGAAAAATTCATCCAGGTATCAGGATCTGGGAAGAGCTCACCTTGGCTGCATGCTTACTAGAATGCCTCCAGGAGAGGTGATCTGCATAAAGCATTTGACAGTCTTCCCTTACAACAAGCTTGGCTCTGTACCTTACTTGTTTCAATTGTTTCTTACTTTTGTAGTCAGCAGTTTTAAATTACCGGGTTATAAATTAATAATAAAAATCAGTCATCTTGAAAACTGTACAAGCTGTTTAAGGAATGTAAATTTAATAATACTCAGCCCACATTCTTTAATACTCCAAATCTGAATGTTTAGAAGAAAATAGATGGCAGTAATTAAAGCTATGTCTGTGGGACCTCTGTAAGACTTGATTTATAAAGAGCTGTATTTGCAGTATGATACTCACATTCTAAGTAGCTGGCTAAGAGAACAGCAACTGAAGTTTGTCTTTAAAGGATGAACAGTCACCTGTATTCAACAATATTAGATGGTTTTAGTGGATTTACAACCCCAGACATTGTAAAAACACCCCAAACAAACAAACAAACAAAAAACCACACAACAAAAAACCACTTGTAATCCTAGTAGTTACTAACTGCAGTTTGAAATTTGATCGCTGTAGTGAGCTCTGTGGGTCTGAAGAGGGCTTTATGCAAAGCTGCCAATCTACTTTTGTTGCTGTCTGTGCTGCAGTTGCCCTGCCCTTTTATAGAGCTTATTTGGCCTTAGGGTGATGACACAACCGATAGTTGTAACAGTCAGTGTTATTCCCCAAATTATGAGTTGCTTCACAGGTGAAAGTTAATTTTCTCCAAATCATAGTTTTAAACCTGAGGGTTCCTAAACCAGGGAGTATAAGTAGTTACTGAAAGGCTTTTTTAAGGCCGAAATGTTAGTGACAAATCAGCTCACATAAAAAGAAAGCAACCAAAGTCCTAGTGGTTATCATTTATATTTAAAAACTTTACTAATAATATGTAACTATTACAGTGAAAACTTGGCTTCATCTTGCATGTTATCAGAATGCTGAGCAGCGGCCTAGCAAGGCCTAAACCTTAACATGTTTTGATGAAACCAGAACCAGTGTTTTCTGTCTCCCAGTGTGGTAGGTTAACAGTTTGGACTGTGGTCTCTATTTTAAGACCTCAATCAGGAGTCCTGGATTAATGATTTCTGGCATGGTTGGCCATCTGCACATTGTAGGCATGGCATTAGAGTACCTTTTTTTAACCAACCATTTGCCATTTTGCCACTGCTGTAAGAGATTTATTTGCAAAAGAGATGGTTTTCCCAGATCTCATTCCAATGACTTTTCTCCCTTCTTTCTGTAGATTTTTGCCCCCTTTCCCCACAGTCTTCCTTTGCCTATTGGTAGATTACTGGGGTGTTGGGTTGATTGCGTAGGAAGCATTGTTTCTGTTAGAAAGGCTTGGTTATTCAGAGGTGCAGATTACAGGTGAATGAGGACAGTCTCCTTGTGACATTTACTACTGCTTAGGTTTGTAATTTGTACTTACTTATAATGCTGTGCTGCGTGTCTTCTGCAGCGTGAAGAGGTGGGCTGTGATTTAGGAAGAGCAGGAGGGACTGACTTGTTACAGTACCAGTAATAAGATATTTTGGAGTTTTACTTTACAAGATTCAGTTCACAAAGATTTCAAATACTAACTGTGAGAGTAGCTGCGGAGTAGCTTTTAATCATTACAGACACTGTCTTCACTATTTCTAGGACTTATCCTAACTTCCTTTGTTATATATGTGTTTTCCCTGCTCTAGTGTCCTTGTTTTCTTAAAACTGGAAATAACAAAATCCTACTCACCTGTTGCAGAAACGGGATGACTGATTACATGGCTGAAGGATGATGCTAGAGCTTGTACGGTAGTAGAAACTGCTAATATACACAATTCATTATTTAAAAAAACAAACCAAAACTTACTGTGTGTATTAAACCAGCCACATCTCACTGAATAATCTAATGACTTTTCTTTTTCCTCCCCTCAGGTCCCAAAACAGTTTTTTTCTGGGCACCTCTTATGAAATGGGTAAGTACAAAATGCCAGCTAGTGTCTGGATGTGTGTCAAAGTGCAATCTGCAGCCACCAATTGAGCAAGCAGTGGTTTCCCAGCAGATACCTGAACCTACAGAAAGATTTAATACCAAGGCTTTAGGTTTTGATTTGCAGGGAGAAACAAAACTAGCATTAATAACATACAACATGCACGGGAGATAGCAGGGAGGGGGGAAATGCTTTGTCAAAAAACTGTACTTTTTGCTGAAACTTTCAGAAAGGCTTTCTCATGTGAAACAGTTTCTTAAGGAAGTTATAAACTGGCGTAATTCAAAACTCTTTAAGACAAAACTCTTTTGTCTGAGATTGAGGTATTTGAAAAGTACCGTAATTTGAAGACAGGTTAAAGCATGTCAGAGTGCAAGGTAATCTTGAGAAAAGGTAAAAAAAAAAAAGAAAAAAAAAAAAAGCAGGTGCCCTTTTGGCTGTTGGTAGCTCTCTGCTTCCCACTTGGTTACACCCCCTAGCTATGGTTGTGCACAGGTGAAGTAAACATCTCATCCTAAATCACTGTACTCAATTGTATTGGTGTAGATAAATGACCTCTAAAATCATAAAGCAATTTGATCTCTATGCTTGATAACAAGAAAGGATATAACCTGCTCTTCCTATCGCCAGCTGGTTCCCAAGTTTCCCATTTGTGAGCCCCAACTTTTCATAGGCCACAGGCAACACGTTATGCTCTAAGCTGTAGTTTGGTTTCTTTGTCATTCTAAACTGGAGCTGCAGAAACCATGGTTAACCTTCCCCTTTCTCAGAGGCTCTTCTAGGTGACATGCTCCTGAGCCTAAGCATACAAGCAACTCTTCTGAGCAGGCTGGTATCAACAACTGCTGTATCAAAAGAGCATACACAAAGATGATTTTTTATTTTATGCACATGCAGGAAACAGTGAAATTCTTCACTGAGAAGTGAAAATAACTTTTCCCCTACACAGCAAAGGTACTTACCTATGTGTGCTGGAAGCCTGTACCTCTATGGCACCGCTACAACAGCATCATTCCCATAAGTGAGGCAGTACATGGACTTCTCTACCGTTAAAACCTGGTTTCTTGATTGGAGCCAAAGGAGTCCTTAATGGCAGTCAGTGGATTAAAAGCATTAGGACTCTCTTATTTGTGGGATTTTGTTTATTTTCTTTTTTTGTGAACTCCTGTAGCATGAGATTGTATTTCCAGTAGAGGGCAATAACACAAGAATCAAATCAAGCATATTTGCTAGCAAAGTTGTCAAGTACATCAGCCAAGCTATTCCTACCTTCACCTAGAGGTTTTCTACTTTTACTGATATTTAAAATGCAGCAGTTTTACCTCCTCAGTGAAGGTGGTATCACGTCTAAATCTTTAACAGCAATATCTTAGCCTGAGCTTTAGGAAGCTGCTTTCTTAAGCAGCTGTGCTTAAATTAACGTTGTTCTTAAATTAATACAAAATTGCCACTGCCTGGAATTTTACTGCAAGCTAATAAAATTCCAGTGCATCCCCTACAACTGTGTTCGTACTCCTACCACAAGGGATTAGAAGTAGATAGTGTCTCCCAGAGTCAAATTACTCTGCTAATTTAATGCATCCTACCTCCTGCATAATGCATATGGAATATGCATTGAGGTATGAAGCAACTTCCCCTTGTAAAGCAGAGGGAGGTCTGTTAAAGGAGGTGCTCACAGAATTTTTCTTCACAGGGTTTGGTATGTGCTGGAATGGCTGATATGACCAGACCAGCAGAAAAGCTCAGCACAGCACAGTCTGCAGTGTTAACGGCCACAGGTAAAGCCAAAGTTACTGTATGCTTTTATGCAGCACCCTCTCTGAAACTTCTTCCAGAATCCTTCATCAGAACTAACCTGCTTCTACAGAAAAGGCTTAACTGTAATACACTAAGTCTCAGTGTTGCTGTCAGATGAGAATTCCAGGACAGGCCTATGCTTGTTATTAAAACTGTAAGAATTCTGTGATTATATCAGTTTTCTGCATGTGTCTTAATTTGGAATTGTCCAGAGCAAATTGTTAGGAGTTAGAATTCTGAGTTTCATCCCTTAAATTACAATTATACCACTTATTCCACTAAGTGACCTCCTTTGCTTCAGATGAAGCAATTCTAAAATCTCCAGGATATAGTGACTCTTCTAGAACAGAGTTTAAGGGATTAAAGAGTGGTAGGCCAATTACACTAACATAACTGGAAAGAACTCCTACGTGTTAAAAGAACTTGGAAGCAGTGGTACATAGACTGCTGCACTGCTGTCTGTCATCAGTTTTCATGCTGGCAGAAATATAACCACCTGTATTCAAGGTGTTCCACCTTATCTTGTCAGGGGTGGGACTTCTAGCAGCTCAAGCTGAAAATCAAAACTGCAGCTGCCACCTTCCTTCTCCAGACTTTATTTTCTCTCTGCATTTTACATGATATGTAGACCTTTTTTGACTGGTGGATTCTATAGAATGTCTAAGCTGAGTACCCTGGCAGAAGGCTGGGTATACTACACCAAAATGACACTACCCTGCAACTGTGCTGGAGAATTAAGGTCTAGACTGCTGTAGAGTACACAGGATCTTTCTTTCCTATTAAGACTATGATTGACTCTTATTATCTAGTTGTTTTGCAAAAATGCAGTACATACCAGTAGCTGTCCCATGGCCACTTGATGTGCTTTTAACTGAGAACTGGCTAAGTATAAGAAAAGCAGTTGTCTAACATGAGGTTATAAAATCTGTTTGCTTAAACTGGCTCGTGATTCTGTCTCCAATATGTCTGAATATTTCACTTTAAAGACTTAACATCTTTAAACTTTCCCCTTCATTCAACAGGCCTCATTTGGTCAAGGTACTCTCTAGTTATTATTCCTAAGAACTGGAGTCTGTTTGCTGTAAACTTCTTTGTTGGCTGTGCTGGTGGTTCTCAACTCTACCGAATATGGAGGTATGTATTCAGCAGGAATTTCTACATCCTAGGACACAACACCTCAGCTTAAGCAGGAGTTTATAAATCCTGCCAGCTTTCATGTCAGTGCAACAGACAAGAGGAAGTAAGCAATTAAACAACTAGAACTTTTTTTGTTAGTTTCCCAGTTGAGTAAGAGTGAAGTTTTAAATATTTTCAGCATAACTAGAGCACATTTTAAGGAACGTGCTATGTAAAATGTAGTTTTCTGTGTCTGAGGCATTCTTCAAAAGCTGTAGGTATGACTGACAGCCTAGACTTTCTCCTCCTCATAAGCTTTGCACTTCTCCTTCAGCACTTTCAGTGTTGGATCATGGCAGTTCCAGCTGGATTGAAGGGTTCTTAAGTAGAGCAGCATTTTCTAATTCCTTTTTTAATTATTATTTCTTGAGGCTTCAGTACTGGCCAGGAATAAGGCAAACATAGTTGCAGCAACTAAAGAGAAACTTCTTACATGAAGTAAACTATGCTGAGTTTCCACGCTTAAGTCTGTTGTAACTTTAAAACTCCTCTGCTGAACACATTGTTAGTTAGACACTGTTATTGTAATTAGTATTCTATTCTTAATCTGTGCTCTTTTCCTTTTTCCCCTCTATAGGTATAATCAGGAACTAAAAGCAAAACAAGACTAGCTGCAGTAAAGAGATGCTTAACCCACAGGTCAAATCCAGCAACTCACAAACCATGGGACCTAGCTTCACTAATTTTAATGTTTTTTGAGAAAATGAAAGAGGAATTTAAATGTTTAGAGAGCAAGTGTTTTCTAAGTACAAAAAGTATCTCTGTACACTTAAATAAAGTGCAACCTTTTAAATTCAAGCAAAGTCCATGTGTTATTATCTCCTTAAAAGAAACAGATTCTGGATTGTGCCTGGAATGAGTTGCTGGGCCTGACCTTACCTGTCTCTACTGAACAGGAATGAGAGTGACATAGTGCCAGTCAGACAGAGCCTCAACTGCAGTTATCTTCCTCCGGGTCACAGTCAGACCTGGGTGGGGTTTTAACATACTTCAGTAACCAATAGTAGCATTTGCATTTCATTCTCTGATGCTGTTCCCTGGTTGTGTAAGGATATTCTTCAGCCTCAGCCATGTATATCTTCATTTGTTTCCCAGCCACTGCCATCTTTACCAAGAGAAGGGAGAACTAGTATGTGCCACTGGTGTTTTAGCTTCTGTCATCCTTTGCAACTAGAGGCAGAAAACGGGTGCATTTAAGTACCTGGTTCTTGGGAATGTCAAAAATAAACAGCCAAAACTTTTATTACTTGCTTTCCACCCCATCCTTTAATATATGCAGATTTCCTGTAAAGATGTTCACTCAGGAAACATGTACATGGTACTTCTCCAGTAGCTTCTTCAGGACTCAGGAAAATGAAGGCATTGAAATACTGGAGTTTTGCAAAATCTTGTTACTAAGTCTCTTCCTGCTAATTTCCCCCAGTCCCATTTGAGTTACCACTACAGCATGGCAAAGGTGCAGAGGAAAGTTTTCTACGGTTGTAAGAGCTATAGCACCTTGCTGTAGCACTGAGTCCTCTCCTTTCTCACCTTGTGTATAACGTTACATTATCCTGTGCAAAGTAGTTGTGCACTTTAAGGAAAGCATTTTTCATTCTTGAAATGCACCTGATAAGACTGTCAGCTCCCATTTTTTTCAGAGGCTGCCCTGCCACCTCCAGTTCTTTCTCTCCTACATGTGTTCTGCTTGCAACCAACAATTGCACTTGCATTTCTCAGTTCTCAAATGGTGAACAATCCAGCTGTGTTGTTTGCTGAGCCAACAGAGACTGCAGTGACTGAAGAATACTGCCAGAAAGAGGTGGTGTGTTTCAATCCCCCTCCCTTCACACTCCCTAACTGGGTAAGACCCATCCAGCAAACCACTAATGGGGAGAGGAAGTATATTAAAGTATTCACAAGATTACAACAGAAACCATGAAAGTCCATTCAGGAAAAAAATATCCAAGATAACTGTTTCGAGATGAGTCTGTAAAGGCAAAAGCACGAACAGTCGGTACGCTGGCTCTTCACATAACTGGGCCATGCAATGCATATCTAGCTCCCTTACACAGGCTATACACCTGTCTTACAGGTGTTGGTTCTCTGGCATACCTCCAGGACAGAGGTTTACAAAGGAGAAGTACCCAGTCTATGTTTCCAGTTACACTTACTACATAACAACAGCTGGTATTGCAGGGAGACAGAAAAGATTGCACAGCACACTGATCTCCAAAGGCATCGTACTTGCATTTTAGAGTGCAAAAATACCTTTAAATGAAAGGGCTTATTAACTTTAGAAGGGAAAGGGAAGCCTCAAGAAGAGTATAATGACTGAGCATATGATTAATATGATTTTGGAGTCTCCCATATAAAAACGTTACCCAAATACAAGCACTGCAGGGGTCCAGAAGTCTTACGCACCTTCTCAGTTTTGATGGTTTTAAAGAGAAAACATTTCCATCACCTATTGCACAAGAACAATTTGTATTTGAGGTCCTAGGTAGATACTTTAATAACATAAAATTCCAAGACAAGATTTCAATACAGAGTGAAGGTGGTGTGGTTATAAATCAAATGACCCACACTTGACCTCAATGAATCCACTCTAAGGCTATGCAGCTTCTAAGCTGCATATACACATTTACTGTCGTTACAAGACAGATGGTTACTTAAACGATTCTCATGAGTTTAAAAAGTTAAAAACCTAATTCCAGCTCTGCTAGTCACAAACTGAAATATCACTAAGGCTTTGAGAGAAAACAAAATTCTACATGTCTCCAATTCTATATATTTCATTTGGATAAATGAAATGTCATTCAGTTAGTTACAGGGACATATTTGCCTCTACGTAATGGCTCGATATCATTTCATAAAATGCCGACCATCTCCCTCACCGAACAACTGCTGAAGTCAAAAGTGATTGTGATCAATGGTGATTTGATGTACTGAGTACAGCTACCAATTTACTTTGATACTTTATTTGTAATCCTCAAATTTAATTTCTGGCACTCAAAAATAAGAAAGAATATATCTACTGTTAGATGCCAAAAATAAATAAATAAATAAGCTGAAACTGTTCTACTTAGCAGTTCTGTTAAGAACAGGGAAGATGAATGATGCCATTCATATCCCTGGCTCTAGGGGGTAGCAACTGACTTCGCTGCCAGAGCCCAGACTGGTGATCCAAAACGGCACTCCTACAATGGCCAGAAGGTCACTTCTACCCATAAAAGGCCTTTTCTTTCCCCTCAGCTGAGAAACTTATTTCAGATTGATCCCGCTCTTGTCTGCATGATGAATAAAAGAGAAACATCATACAGACCTTCCCCAACTCCCATATCCAAGAGCAATGACCCACTTAAGTTCTAGTAATTTGCTACTGCCTTGAGAGAGGCTGTCTACTCCTCAGCTGAGCTGAGCAAGCCTGCCACACAACAAGTCTTTTTAAAATAGAGGGTCTTAAAAATAGCTATCACTACTACTATGACAGGACAATGATAACATGCTCAGTGCTCCTCAAAGTCCAAGCTGCTCCTCTCCACTGGCAAAGAATAGCATTGGAGAATTAACAGATGAGCAGCAGAGCAGAGTTAAAACTTCTGGTCACCATAACATCAGGACATGATGACCCTGTCTGACTTTAACCTCTGCCTGCTGGCCATCAGGGAGTAGAAGTCCTCTGTCTCCTGAGACTTAACTAAGTAAGCCAACTTAGCATCAGTCCCTTTCATCAGCACAGGTTACAGTATGATTAAACAAGCTCAGATAACTTCAGAGACAAAGTTCCCAAGTGTTGTCCCACATTTCTTCAAGTTCTTTTGACTTCAGCCCAAACAAGTGATTTAACAGCTGCATTGTTCATGTTTCCATGACAAAAAAGAATAATAATTATATATATATATATATATATATATATATATATAAAATTCAACAGTTTTGCACTGGAGGGATTTGGACTGATTTCTGCTATTCCTGGGGAGAGGACTTCTGTTTCTTTTTAGAAAGATGTTCAACATTTTAAGAAAATACTTCCAAGTTCATTCTGCCTATACAAAGAGGGTGCAAGCAGCCTTGCAAAAGCCTCCTCACTATAGGCAATATGAACATACCTGTAGCTAAACAAAAGCAATGAAAGGAGAGGTTTCCTAAAATTAGTTAGCACTATCCAGATGAATGTCTCCTGTTTCTAAAAGTCAGCACCAGATGAGGACTGTGCTCAGATTCTCCAGTATATTCCAGCAGGACAAGAAACATCAGCAGCAGACCCCAAGAGCGAAGGCCCTATCATCTCATAGCAGCAAGTTTTTAATAGCTACATTAATGACATTTCTCCCTCTTGCTCTAAAATGTCTGGGGAGAAAGATGGTGATGACCACGGGCAGATCAAAATCAAGTTTCTCCACCAATCATGTCAAAAGCATTCATTTCTCACTAAGTGTAAAACAAACACTGGCAACTAATAACTGGTAGATAAGGAAAGCAGCAGCAGCAGGATTCATCCTGATCTTAATGAGGCTTCTAATAAAGGCAGGTGTTACCAGGAAAGAATGTCTGATCCTGATGGAAGAATATAGCATTGCCTTGCCCAACTTTGCTGGGGGGAAAAAAAAAAACCAAAACCAAAACCAACACTGTACACAAAATAGTTATTAAAGTTACACTGTGATAATTAAAGGATTATCTAATGTGGTTCTGAAAAGGTCTGCCATCAGCCTAAAACAATTTTTTTATTTACGTGATGTTACAGTGGAACACTGGCTCAAGTTTACAAATATCAAGCTAAGAGTAATGCAAACTCACTGAAGGACAGGAATTCAAACCAAGTTTTCAACTGCTAAATTGAAGATGAGGTCTGAAAAAGCCATAACGTAACTTCAGCAAAGACAAATTTGCAGACAATACAAAGCCAGGAGTTGTTGCTGGCATACCAGATGGTTGTGCTATCATTCAGACAGACTTGTATAGGCTAAAAAACTGGGCTAAGAGGAATTTCATGAAGTTCAAGAAGGAAAAGTGCAAAGTCCTGCACCTGCAGAGGAACAACCCCCTGCACCAGTACAAGGGGTTGATTATTAATGGGCAGCTGGGGACTGCCTGGCTAGCAGCTTTGCAATAAAGGTCCTGTGGAGATCCTGGTGGACACCAGGCTGAACACGAGACTGCAGTGTACCCTGCTGCAAAGAAGGCAAGTGGTATCCTGGGCTGCATTAGGCAACATACTGAGAGCAAGTCAAGGGAGGTGATCCCTTCGCTTAATACCCCACTGGTGAGGCCACACCTGGAGCACTGCGTCCAGTTCTGGGTTCTCCAGTACAAGAGATATATGGACTTAACTGCAGGAGGTCCAGTCCAGGGCTACAAAGATGATAAAGGAATTGGGGCATCTTTCACATGAGTAAAGGCTGAGAGAGCTGGGACTGTTCAGCCTGAAGAAGAAAAGACTCGGGGGGGATCTTATCAGTGTTTTTAAATACTTGACAGGAGGGAATGAAGAGTACTACTCTTCTCAGTAGTGCTCACTGGCAGAGCAGAAGGCAACAGACAGAAATGAAAAGAAAAAAAAAAAAAGGAAAGAAAAGAAAAGGAAATTCCACTTGAACACAAGGAAGCACACTTTTTTTACAGGTTGCCCAAATCTTCCATCTGTGGAGATACTCAAATCCCAACTGGGCAAAGTGCCAAGCAACCTGCTCTAGCTGACTCTGCATGAGGAGGAACGGTTTGAATTATATGATCTTTAGAGGCCCACTGCAACCTCAACCATTCTGTGACTGATCCTTTGAAATGGACTGAACTAGGAAATTGAGAGAAAGGGTTCTGG